CCTGACAGTCATGTATTTCTATAACTCTGGGAGGAAGCCGTAGTACCCAGCGAGAAACCACGCATGCTCAGAGAGAACGTGCAAACTCCATGCAGAAAGACCCCAGGCTGGAAATCGAACCCAGAGCATTCTTGCTGCAAGGCAACAGTGCTCCCACTGCGTCACTGAGCAGTCCAAATTAAACCATATGTTCTTTAATTTATGAAGAAATAAGAACCTTTGGGCTCCCAAAACACCTAAACATCAGATGTGTACCAATTATAATACAGAAATTCATTCTGATCAAGTTAGAAGTTTTATGGGCCAGACTTTAGCAAAACCAGAATTAGAGCTTTTTTTCTTACTGGTGCAGGTTTGGAGGTACTCACATGGACATCAAAAGAGGAAACAAGTGAACAACATTTCCATCTGAATCTTAAGTGAAGCAATGATTAAGCTTTTAACCTGATTCTGTTGGGGATTTTTATTGTTTGGTTTTATTTTTAAATATTTTTTATTCAGATTTTTTTCTACCCAAATTGTATTAAAGTATTTTAATAGGACTGTCCTGGTAGATTAAAACCGACATCAATAAAAAAAAGCCGTTGCACTTAAAAACTTGGACATAACTGTAAACAAGTGAGGTTAGACCCTCGCACCATGTCGCCAAAGTCTCAGCCTTTTGTAGCTCTTCTGTCACAGGTGACATGTTTTGGTTGCAGGGTTCTCCTCGTCTTCCTCAGGTTTCACTGTTTTCGACGGTGCAGACAGTCTCCTCCTCCCCGGCTGACTGCAGGACAATGCAGCAGCAGATGAATGGTAATTCAAAGAGCAGCTGCTGCTTTTGATGATCATAGGAAGGGGAGCGAGGCGAAGCTCCAGGCAGTTGAGGGTTACCTGTTGACCTTTCTGACTGAGAGTGAGGGGCAGGAAAAGGGGTTGAAGGGGCTCAGTTTCCCCTCAAATAACTCTGATGAGGAGTTTCATTCCGTCTCTCTGACACGCTGATTATCAGCATGAAATATAAGCTGGTTTTTAAATGTAACTGAAACAATCAGCCACTTTTAGCTTCCCTCATACTAACACAAATGAAAGAGTTTCAGGCAAAGAATCCGCATGAAACTCTCTTACGTTTTTGTTTAGACTAAGAGAAGATTTCAGTGTTTTTAGACCTTTTTTTTTTTTACAATTTTACTTTTTTTTCATTCTTTCAATCCATTTAGTGGCTCAACGCTTCATCACACTTAAATGAGTTGAATCTACATTTATGGGGGATAGAGAACTCTATAAATCTGAGTCATTTTGACACAAATAAAGTGGAGGGACCCTGTTGCATTCAGATAAGAACTATCCAGAGAAATAAAACAGCTAAATGGTTCTTCCATATATCCCCAGCTCCCCATACCTCAGTCATTCATACTGTATATTGTATTATTATAGGTTTACCATGTGTATGCTTGCCGTTATAAAGGCAGCGACTGTGGATCACACCTGCTCACCAACTCGACTCTGTGCCTGCTGCTGCATTCTATTTGCCTGAGGAGTTGGATCTAAAATACAGGCATCCTATCTTGGTTAATGGTGTTTAGTTTGAAAACCAGTAGGATTTACTAACTGGTTTGGCCAGAGACCAGGATAAGACACAATAGAAGCCAAAACATTATGTATTTAAGCAAAGACTGTACCAATTTTTTGATAGAAACACCATTTCTGATAAGCAAGTAAACTGTTTCCTGAAATGCCAAGCAGGTTGCCATATTAAATTTGAAGTGTAGCACAAGGACTTCACACTTTCAAGATTCCTAGTTTTGTTTATGTGCTTGAGAAAGGAGGTGGGGGAAATTCAAGTAAATTAGATGATCCACCTGGAAAAAAAACCTTGTCTTCTGAACCTTTAAAGAAGACGTTTTAATAAATTAAACCAGGTGAAACTCAAACTTTTCCACTTGAGGAGTTCTGGATAGAGCATTTTGACAGACAATCTTGAATGCAAAATATTTATATTTTTTTTACACTCTTGGCATAATTACTTCTCTAATTGGATTGCTCTGTCAGCTACAGGCATGTTTTAGATACTCCAGTTAACTATTAATCATTTACTGAATTAGTTGATGATTATTTCAATAGTCGATTAATCACAATTAATTATTTCAGCTCTAAATGGACAAAAAAGTTTTATTCTGACTGATCCAGGCGATGTCACAGGCCAAACTGCTTTGTATCCCAGAGATTTCCTCCTGTAGCATCTGTTGCTGGGCTTAGTGTCTGGCCCCTGTGGTTTTATATCTGAGGTACGGACCCTCTTCGCCTCTCTAAATAGACAAATGAGCTAAATATAGAAACGTGATTAAGTGAAAATCTGAGGGCAACCTGTGCTTCACTGGAGGCCTGCTGGGGCCGGGCTTTAATACCTGGATGAGGACTGTGTAATGCTTGGGGCCGTTTGTAGGAGTTTTACAGATTCCTTTACATATTGGTCACTGCAAAGTGAAGTTTTAATTTTATAGCTCTGAAGCACTTTACATCTTTGAACTTCAGGACCTGTGACAGTTGCTGTGTGCAAGGACACTAAACAGGTCTAACAAGTCTGTAAAGTTGTTGTAACAGCGTCTCCTTGGAGTGAATGTAAACAGTGTGCTCACTTAAAAGGAGTTCCAACCTGATTAGACCCAGGAAGGCATTATCCATCCTTTCAGTTAGTTTAGTTGTTTTTGTCATGCATTGCTGGTTTTCTGTACGAAGCCGCTGTCAGACATGACGGGATGACGGCTTGTGATCCCCACATTTAGCTTCTGGAGAAATGCTTCAGTGACGGTCTGTTTCTCACTAAAGCGTCACTGCAGGAGGAATGTGAGAAATGAAGGTTGACAGGAAGCTGGAGGGCATTTCTCCTGTTAATGTGCAATGAGGGGAGGGGGTGTGATTGGGGTCAGATGCGATTGACTCCTCAGACAGAGACCGGCTTGTTTTCAGAGGATTCCCTGAGAACTGGTCGACCACAGCTGGTCTTACAGCGACTACAGACTCCCAGTTCACTTTGTGCTGGTTAACTCTACTGCTTTTATTCCAGAAGATGTATGTTGCATTGGATTTATTAGCAATTCGTCTTAAACCAGCCTTTATCACAATAAATCTGACCATCCCCTCAGTGTGTCCAAACCTTCAGTTAGAAATAAAACAAGTCCTGGTTAATTCTTGTTAAAGATGTAAAAATGACAATACTATGGGAAATTTATTGGTTTCAATTTTTTATTTCCAGTTTTATTTTTATTTCCCAGTTTTATCTGGTACAAATCTCCTTAAAAAAATAAGTAACAACATGTATACTTTAATTTGTATTATTTAATTACATTTTGAGTACAGCTGAAGCAATTAATGGGATCAATCGTGATAATCGAATATTGAAATAATCACTTACTGATTTAGTAATTGATTAATCCTTAACTGGAGTATAGAAACTCTAAAACATGGATCCTGATCTTAAAGTGGAGATTTTCAAATTCAATAATTTTTTTAAGTCATCCCTCATGTCTGTTAGACCTTCCTGTTCTCTGCTGAAAGTGTCCTTCTCGTCTCAAAAACAGAGAACGAGATTTCTCTCAAAGTTTGGGGCTTCCAGTCGCCTGATTTCCAGGACTGCTGCAGCTAAAAAAATTATTTGATCAAGTCAACACCTAGTTTCAAACTGAAGAGCTGAAGAAGCCATATCTGTCATAAACCTATATCCATTTTTTGTAATTATTGATTTGAAATACAAGGGAGAAAAGTAAAAGAAAAGTAAAAGTAAATGACTGTCATTATCAGAACCATATAGTTTTGATAATAAAATAACTTATTTCCGTGTGAATTATTTCTTCTGTGTGGACAAATGCTTTCTCTAGACTTGTAAAGGCTTACTTTTTTCTTAACCTAGAATAGGTAGCAGCCTCTTTCTGGCAGCGTTAAACCTTAGGCTCATGCTCCTGACCAGCTCAGGATCAAATTTATCTACGCTGCCCACCAGATGTCACCTCTGTTGAAGGAGACATGAAACAAGAGATGCAAAGAGAATCGCTGTAACCAATGGAAGGAGGACGGTGCTTTAGCTTCTCTTTGTGACTTTCTTTTGTGTTTTTCCTTAGCTGCTGACAACCAGAAAAAAAAACATGCAAACAAAAATGTTTCCAAACACTAAAAACTAATCTGTCTTGGGTTTAAATACATGAAAAGTGGATATTGGCTTTAAGTTCTGATAGCAGATTTATATCACCAGTAATGTTATTTAGGTACACTTCCCAAGCTGTCTGGCCAATGTGGCCTTAAAACTTTAATATTATCTTAATGTTTCTGTTCAGACTGTGTTCTGCATCCCACAGATGACAGGCTATCTAAATGGTTCTGCTAAGGTTATCAGACACAGCGGATACTTTATAGAACCATTAAACAACATTACATTTCCATTGATTGTAGCTGTGTATGTAGGCTGACAACCTGCAAACACATAATGTAAACTCCATCAAGTAATCCTAATCCTGTCCTTTGCATTTAGGGGTCCTCTTAAACACTCTAGGTTATTCTTTGCCTTTGCCATTTAACACCTTTGCATTACCATTTTATGTCCAACTTAATTCCATTTTCTAATTTTAACCAGTAAAAGAGTGGCCTGCTCCCACCAAAGACAAAGAGCCACTCTTGCACACAAGTAGACAACTTTTCCTCTTAACTATTGAAATAGAAATTGTTTTCAAATGCATAGTTTACATTATTTAACTTATCCATTGAGATATGTGTCACTGAATTGTCTAAAATCCATATTTACACTATGGAAGTTCAAGCATAGAAGGTTAAGGTTTGATGAGATCCATTTTTTTAGTGGGGATATTTGAAGGATGCTTTGTTACCAGAATACAGAAAAAATGAGAAATGTTTAAGGTGTTTTCATTTTGACATTTTAGTTAAAAAAAAAACATTTACTAAACCTTAAGTTCCTTTTAGCACTTCTGTCTCTGAATCTCACCTCTGTTCTGTCTGTTCTGGCCCAGGTGTACACTTACAAACAGAATGCCCTCACCAGACAGAAGGTGCAGCCCATGCACCACAGCAGTGTCAGGGGGGTGGAAGACATGGCGACGCTTGAGGACCTTCATGATGGCGCCATCATGCACAACCTCTTCCAGCGTTACCAGCAGAGGCAAATCTATGTAAGTTGACCTGATACCTCTAATGGCTTCTGCTCAAGATCACTGAGACCTTGAATTGTTGGGCTGCAGTTTGGGAACCCAGTGCAACCTTCTCAGGATTTACTCAATACCTATGAGCATATTATAAAAGAAGGTAGCTGTTGCTCCTTATTGGTTCTTGACTGAGTTTATACTAGCTCTTCCATTTTCCTGTTGGGTCTTTGGGCTAATGTTTAAAGGGAAGTTTTAACCCTAAACGTGAAACATGTTGGATTCATATAAGAAAATCAGTTCTTCTTACATGAAATCGCCAACGTAGTTTATCTTCCTCATCAAGTTTACCTGGTGACAGCTCCTTATCAGTCAACCATGCCTTCACTGAACTGCTCTCTGTAGGCATCTCCCATGAAAGCCTACTGGTTACACAACTGATAGCTGGTTACACAACTGATAATCATCTGAACGCAGGCAGAGAAAGTGAAAGCAATGGGCCCGTTACCTGTCTCTAAACTGCAACCCGATGCTGGTATTGTGAAAGACATGATGCCATGTAAGACGTTCTGTAAGAAATATTTGGTATGCAGAGTTTGAATTGATGTTCTCAACAGATAATCAGAAAACATTACTGTCTCCCATTTATTAAAGACAATACATACAGACCGAGCACTCTTTGTTCTCTTCCGGGGATTGTCACATGTAAAATCCCTGGAAGCAATGTTTGAATTAGATGATTTAAGGTGGTGAACTCCAGGAACATGTGTTTAGACAGAGCAAGTACTCAAAAGGGGAGCGTATGTTTGTAATATTGTGATATTTAACTAGGAGGATAAATTGTAAGCTCAAAATATAGAAATGTAAAGTAGTAGATCCAGTAATAATAAAGGACAGAAGAGCATCAAAGTTATTTTTGTTATATAAAACTATAACTTTATCCAAATGGGTTTTAGAAATCAGAAACTCTTTAATTGCAATCTAATTTATCGCCACTTGGGGTCCATAAATCTCCAACTCAGGTTTTCTTTTTTCCTTCTAGAGTCAGTTTAACATTGTCAGTAAATGTGAGTGAAACCAACCTTGTTCCTTTTGTAGATTAAGACAACAAAATGACAACAAAACCTCAATGCTGCAATTGAGGTTTTGTTGTCATTTGACCAATTTTTAGTAGATTATCACAGTGAGTTTTACAACATTCTCCTGTAATTTAACTATAGTCTATCAAAAAAAAAAAGGATAGATACAAAAACATACACAATTTTACACTCATGGATTAATGAACAAACCTGACTAAACGCTTAACACAGCAAAACAAACACAAAGCCATCCTTGTTCTCTGTATTTGGCACGCATCAGGCAGACTAACCTTTGACAAACGCCATGTTGTTGCTTTAATGACGTTTGAATGCTCCCGTATGGTTGAAATTATCCAATCAATTCATCACAGACAACCAATCTCGATCCTGACTGGGAATTTTTTCCCTCTTTTTTTCCCTCTCTTTTGGAAAGCAGCCACTGGAAATAAAAAAAAGGGAAAATTAGAGGGAAAGATTTGGTGAATTGGATGGTGGTAAACCAAAGGGAAGGGCTGCAAACATACACGCACATTACATGTCTGATGGAACTAAATGTGTGTTAGAACTTCTTCATCTTTTATAGCTAAAGTTTGATCAGTTTTATCGTTAATTTTTAAACATTTTTAAATGATTCTCTTTGCTTCTAACTAGTTAAGTTCCATAATAGAAAAGCAAAGTAGTGTTATTAAGTACTTCTTGCAGTTTGTACATCTGTTGAGCAAAATAGGTAATCACTGAGTTAAGCTAATATACGGATCAAACTGTCAAATTTAAGAGATGCAGCATAGAAAGAGATTGTTATTGCAACAAGCTTTACTCTGTCAGCTGCTCATGTCTGATTAACCTTTTTATGCGTTATATTATGCTAAATTTACTTTCTAAACATTTTGTAAGAGTCATATGTGTCCTGAAGCCTGTTTATGAGATTCACAAATGAAAAATCCCTTTTCCCCTCCATCTTAGCTAATGGGAGCTCAAAATGCTCTGTCTAAAAAGCATTCTCCTTATGATGTAATAAGGGGAATCAGGGAAGCAGCGCATTGATTAGGCTACGGCCTTTATCTCGTGTATTATTCTCTGCTCCTAGCCAGTATCTTTATGTACTCTGACTTATTGTCATGGTTACGGGTTGTGAGGGTGCGGCCTTCGGGTGGACGGGGCGTGGAAATCCAGAGGAGGCCTGAATAAGGACATTTTTGAATGAGTTTTCCTGCACAAACAGTAAAAACATGCTCTGGTGCCTCATTGTTAATATTTTTTTATTTTAAAATGTAGTAAAATATGGGACCTTTTTATTTATGCCGGTGAAGATTCTCAGTCATAGTCATTCCAAAAAAGTTAAACAAACCACTGGACTTTGTTTTCCAAGTTTGAAGACGTTTTGCTTCCCATCCAGGAAGCCTGAAGTTGCTACATTATGTTTTTTAAATTATATCAATTATTTTTTGAGAGATGCTACAGAGAAATTACTACATTTAAAAACAAATATGGGTGTTTCTCAGCTTCCTTTGGCTTAAGCTGTACTGGTAAAGATATGATAAGTATTATCTTTGTAGTTGGCGCGAAGCAAAGTAATAACTGATTATTTGCTGAATTAAACCAAAGCTTTAGGGCTGCATTGTTGCTTTACTTTTCAAGTCATGTAGCAATGAAATGCAAATTAACAGGGACATTATCATTAAATGTAAACATTTAATGGAGTACTGTATAGTTTCAAAATAATTTAAAAAGTGTAGGGAAACTGAACTATGAAGGTATCTGTCTGTGTTCAGTCTGGTTTACGGATTAAGTCATTGGTTTTATATGTATCACATAAAAAAGATGCAAATACATCACTTGATTACAGACCGTCTGCACTGATAAAAGTCCAGTAAAGGGTAACTCCCCAACTTTTACTACAGACAGGTAGGTGCCTCCATTGAACAACTATTACATGTTATCTACAGAGGCTTATCTGAGTTTCTGTAAGCTTCCGTATACAGTCTCGTAATCCTACTACTACTCTTATTTTTTTTCTAGAGCACTTTAACACAAACACAGCTGCAACAAAAAATGACCACAGAAATCACTAAGAAAAAACACCATCACCTCTATTCTTATCATTCAAATGTAAGACATTTAAGGCTGATCTAGTTTTGATGTCCTCCAGCCTGTCCTAGCTAAGGTGTGTAGTACTAACAACCCTAAAAACTTTTTTGTATTATGCATCTCGAAGTGCTCATGTTACCGCTGCAGTTACCATTTAACAGCAAAAGGTATTTTGGACATTACATTGCATTATCTTGGTGTTTATTGGTATGTCACTATAAATAAGACTATAACTGAAGAGCTAAAGTTTTTTTTTTTTTCTCAAAGTATCAGACTTTGGTTCACTATTTTCCTCAGGCTGTGGTTATTCCTGTTATTTTTGCACCATTTTCTGTCACATTTTTCCTTTCTTTCAACTTTCAATTACTATTCCTGGATGTAACTCTCTGTGAACCCCCAGCCTCATAAGCAGTGACCTGTTATGTCTTACTATTATTACATCATATGATGGTAATTGATACATAGTATAATATTTCTGCATTAAGATGCTTATCTATTTGCGTTTTGTAATTTTCTAACTTAATAAGAGCTATAAATATCAAAAAACAGATAATGATAAAATTAATATGATAATAATAACAATAATGATAATGATGAATTTATTTCAATCTGAAAAACTCACACAGAGAGAAAAGATAATTAGAAGAATTTATTGATAGAAAGTATAGTCTTTGGCGCTCAGACCTCGGCAGGAACATTCATGCTGAATTATGCTTTAACATGCATGAGTAGATAAATGAGAATAGGGATGTTCCCCCGGCCTGAAACTGGTGGTGGTTTAATCGGAGCTGGTTGACAAGGTGATCTGCTGAGCAGAATGTGGGACTAGAAGACTGAGGGAGCTGACGCCAGGCTTCACTCGGAGACTCGGGAACTGTCCATGATGAGCAAGCATGAAGCGACAGTGGAGAGGAAAAACTCCCCCTTGGGAAGAAACCTCTGGCAGAACCGGGCTCAACATGGTGGTCTTCTGCCGGACCAATGCGGTGAGACAGGGGATGGTGACGACTGGGATTAATACTCTCTAATGAGGTTGAGGTGAAGTCGAGTCATGGAGGACGATTCGGCTGCGATGGCGGAGAAGGGGATGAAGGTGGGTGAATTGTCGTCTGAATCGAAGTCCGACATTGCGATTGCAGGATAGCGGCTGGGATGAAGATTTGGAGCGTTTATAAAGTGAGAGCAGGACGCTGATTGGGCTTGTGGTGGAGTAGTTCGAAGCTGAATGGCTCGCTTCGGAGACGGATTAGCTTCTGATTGGATGGAGGTAAGTCACAGTTTCTTCAATTGAACTTCCGCTAGAGCTTCATTTCAATCTGAAAAACTCACACAGAGAGAAAAGATAATTAGAAGAATTTATTGATAGAAAGTATAGTCTTTGGCGCTCAGACCTCGGCAGGAACATTCATGCTGAATTATGCTTTAACATGCATGAGTAGATAAATGAGAATAGGGATGTTCCCCCAAAAAAAAAGCCGAGGTAGAGGCCGGAAAGTCCGTATGCTCGTGAGGCATACGCTAAGGACAGAATAAAAGTGTGCGTAGTGAAATGCTGAGAAGATTTGAGAACAACTTACCGAGCCAGGTTGTTGAAGAGAATGGTGACCAAGGTTGACGCTGAAAACTTACTACTGAAGATGATGATGATGATGACGAAGAATACATACCCACGATGACGATGATGAAACCATGGTGATGACGATGAATACTTACCCACGATCATGATGATGAAACCATGATGATGACGATGACGAACCTCCATGATGCTGATGCTGATGCCGATTTCCCCATGATGATGATGCTGATGATGATGATGCCGATTCCCCCATGATGATGATGCTGATGATGCTGATTCCCCCGTGA